GGCAAGCTTCTCTCATAGAAACTCACTCTAAGTAGATCAATCCTAAGAGAGAAGGTGTGTAGAGGGAGAGAGAACTCGTAACTAGGGTTTTGGAATATGAAAGTGCAAGAAAAACAGATCTGAAACACGCTGCTGCCAATTTAAACCTGACAGGCTCGCTCGAGCGAAGACTTAGTCGCTCGAGCGACCAGACACACGAAAACCTCGCTCGAGCGAAGAAAGCTCGCTCGAGCCAAGAATGCAATGCTTTAGGTCTGCAACCCTGGAGCACGCTCGAGCGACAGAATGCTCGCTCGAGCAAGGAACTCGAAAACATATACCTCGCTCGCTTGAGCAAAGAAAATCTCGCTCGAGCGAATAAGCACTGTCCTCAGGTCTATACCAGACGCAGTCGCTCGCTCGAGCGAAGCAAATCTGGATCGAGCCAGAGGACACAAAAACAAACCTCGCTCAAGCGACCAAAACCTCGCTCGAGCGACCAACACAAAAACTAGACAGCAACACTTGGTTTACGAACCCAACCAACCTGAAACAAACCTGCCCAACACATCCTATAATTCCAAATAAGAAAATAAAGGACGACAACAACAAATAAACAATGACAGAATAAACGGAACCCAAGTCCGGATACAATAATCAAATGGGAAAAGACCGGGGTCGCTATAACCAGGGAATTGTTGAGCTTGATGCAAAATCCATGGCAATTAGTCCAATGATGATGCCAATGAACAACATTAATGACACTCATTACACTCAACTTGGTGGTATGTCTAGCAGCAACTTGCAGTGCATTGATCCACTAGAGAAGTTGATATATTATGATCCAATAATGTTGTTGCCCTCTCCAGAGTCTGTTTTAACAAGAGTCTCGTGTACTGAGTCGTCATTTTCAATGTCTAGGATGATGGAGAATGAGGTTGGTAAAAATCATCATCCTTCGCCCTCTATGGGTTACTATGGCGGTTCAAGCATGCAAACAATGTCACCATATATGCAGTACCTGAAGATGGCAAGTGGTCCTTCTCAAGTTCATGCATGGCAGAAGGAGGAGTACTACAAAGCCAATGAGTTTCAGATGAAGAACCAGAAGTGAATTCAATTCAGGTTTAAGTTATGGATTCTAATGGTACATTTGGTAGTAGAAACTAATTAATTAGTGTGGAAAGGGAAGTACCCAATTTTACTTTACTTTATTTTATTTTGTTTTTAAATTTAGTGTTTTAATAGCTTAGGTCTCCTTAAATTTAATTAATGACTATTTATATGGACTCATTAACCTTTTAAGTAGGGTTCTAAATTCTAATTGGTAAAGTAGCATTTATATATAATTAAACTAAATTGCATACAAGTATTTTTGCTGGCACTTTGGATGTGAATTATGAGACTATTGACAGTCAAATTCAAGTCGATTTCCTTCACTTCATTAATACCATGTCATGTATATTGATCAAATGTCTCGATCAGGTAGTAATTTTTTTTATTGGTGAAAGAATAATTTTTTATTCATGTAAAAAATTTCAATTGTTGGATTGAGTCAATGCTTTAATTTGACCAATTGATAGGGCTGCAATGAGCTGGAGTGAGCAAAGTTTTAAGTAGCTCATACTATTTTTTTAGTTTTACAAATAAGGAATTTTTTGAGACATGGTTACGGGACTACTCTATAGAATAAATAAGTCCAGACGCATCATCAAGAAGGATTGTCTAAATGATTTGAATCTACTATGCTTCACTAGGACCCTTGAAAAATCATGCATGAGGAAAATTATTAGGTAGTTTTGAAGTATCATGTGATGTCATCTATGTGGTTCTTGAGGTAAATGAAAATTTGTAACTTCACAAAATAGACAATATGTCACATAATATTTCAAAATAAATAATTACTCCAATAATTAACCATCAGGTGAATAAGATAGTTATTTAGTGGTATTAAAGTAGCGGTCAACATCATTCATTGCATGACACTAATCGTGTTATTTTTCAAAAAACGTTACATAAAACAAATTATGTCGCATTATTTTAACTAATAAAAATTAAATTGTGACAACACATAATTTTTGGAAGCATAGGCAGTTTTGATTGCAAATGAAGGATACATATGGGGGTGGGCAGCAAACATGGTTGTGATGCCCCTCGGGTGAGGTAACAAACTTGCAAAGCCAAGCCCACGAAGGAGGGAGCTTTTGACCACCTCATATGAGTTGTCCCCCTTTTTCGGTCCTTACTTTCTTCTTTCTTTTTCTTTTTCTTTTCCTTAATTTTCATTGCATATTTGTATGTTAATTATTTAATATTTGTCCAACAAATCTAATTAATATTTTAAATTAATCGGTTTTTGCTTGTATTTCTGCTTTAGTTAAACCAATTCAGTTGATGATTTCTTGGTAGGGACTTTTATCTCTTCCATGACTAACTAGACTAGATGTTGAGTCGTGAAACAAGTTACACCTATGCCATGTTTGTTTGGATGGACATGAGCTTGGGATTAAACTAATAGTCCAATAAAATTATTAATCCGATGTTTGGTTAAACAATTAAAGTACAGACTAACAATCTATCTGGATATGGTATCTCACATATAATGGACTATTCAATCTCACAGAGGGGGGGTGGGATATAAATTGGAGGACTAAGCCAAAGTCTAAATTATTAGTTTCTCCTTATAATCCTAACTCAATCCAAACATAGGATAAGATACACAATCTAAAGAATTCGTAGTCCTAGGACTATTAGCCATAGGAATGTTAATCCAACTTAATCCAGTCCATCCAAACAAACATGGCTCTATTGGTATGGCGCCGACTGGGACAAAAGGGTAGCCTAGTGGTTGGGAGCTGCTTTAGGCACGGGGATTTGGTTTCCCCTTCTCTATTTAAATGAACTCATTAGTTGTTTGTTTTTTTAGTTTGTGTCTGGTTGATTAGTTAATTATAATACAAGTTGGCAATGTATACACTTTGCCAGCCATAGAAGCGAGTTGTACAAGTTTTTTGAAACTCTAGTTATAACCTTTCAAGTGACTACTGCTTCACTGCACTTTTGACACCCATGTTCTAACAGAGACCATAATAAACTAAAATGATTAACAAATGAATTCAATAGATCTAAATTAAAACCATAATGGTACGCTTAATGCCTACTAAGGCTTTATTTGGGAAGTGGGTTGACTTTTTAAACTTTTATCTATTTTAGCCTAGGATTAAAAATCCTTATTTGGGAATGACTTTTTGGCCCTTTTGACTTTTTGTGAGAGAAATAATGTAATAATAATGAGTTGGATGTGATGTTTTGTCTTGTTAGATTAAAAACTTTATCTTGTCTTTTTATAACTAAAATAGCTCCAAACCCAACCCAACCCAACCCTCCTTTCCAAACGAGCTCATGAGTACAAGCACAAAAGCTGATCAAAGTCCATTAGTACTCACCCATCATCTCCTATAGAAATAGGATTACAAACCTAGCTATAACATTCACAATTCCAATTAATTAACATGGGCACTGCCATTTGTGTCATGCAATTTTAACTACCATATTAGTGGAAATATCATTGGATAGTCATAAAATAATTTCAATTTTATAATAATCTTTTTGAATACAAGGCATTTTTATATGTTATTTCTGTATACGATAAAAGTTTTTTATTTTTTATTTTTATATTAAAGTCATTTAGTATCTCCTATACTTCTAAAATTGATAGCATACCCTCCAAGGCTCTCCACATAAAAGAGACGGTGAGGCAAAATATTTATCATATTGCTTGCCCTGTTGGAGCTCCATTTTATAATGTACCAAACAAATGTCTACCCCAAATGCCTCTCCTATTAGAGTTGCTCTTCTAAATTATTTGGTGAACATAAAGTAATGGGTTTGAGTCTCATTAGTGGTCGTTGGGAGCACGAGACTCTAGAGCCACTGGCTCCTCACCATTATATGCCCCTTTGCTGAGGATTGGGTCGAGTTACGATTTAACTCGCCTAGATGAAGCGCGCCCAGATCCTCTAGAGTGAGTTATCTAAGCCCTGTTGGAGCTCCATTTTATAATGTACCAAACAAATGTCTACCCCAAATGCCTCTCCTATTAGAGTTGCTCTTCTAAATTATTTGGTGAACATAAAGTAATGGGTTTGAGTCTCATTAGTGGTCGTTGGGAGCACGAGACTCTAGAGCCACTGGCTCCTTACCATTATATGCCCCTTTGCTGAGGATTGGGTCGAGTTACGATTTAACTCGCCTAAATGAAGCGCGCCCAGATCCTCTAGAGTGAGTTATCTCTCTCTCTCTCTCTCTCTCTCTCTCTCTCTTCGTTTAGCTCTTCTTTCTTTTTTTTCCCTTTTCTTTTCTTTTATATTAAACAAAACATTGTTTTGTATTACTCTACCAAACTCTAGACGACCCTCACTGCTAGAGGATCCGCACGTAGAAGAAACACTTGCGATTCATGTTTAGGCTTGTCTAGACCCTTTATGTCCGGTACCCCAATGGGAAGGATCTTCTTCCCACCCATGAAAGGTTGCCATAAGTTAGTCACCTCCTCCTATTTTCTTTTAGCCAACCAAAAAAAAAAAAAATAGGGACAATAACACGAAAAACCCAGCGTTTGAGCTTTGTAACAAAACAAACCTTGAGTTTTTGTAATTTTATCAATTTAAATCTTAATCTTTTGATTTATTTTCAATCTAAATGATTTACCTATGTTTGTTTAATAAAAAAGACAAAAAAGAGTAATTTAGCTATTAAAATCGATGTGGGTATACATAAAATGTCTAAAATATCCTTTTTTTTCATTGAGTTTACTGACATACTTATTTTCCCTTCAATTTTACTCAATGGAAATAGGCAAACGGTTTAGGTTATAAAAATAAATCAAAAGTTTAGAGTTTAAATGATAAAATTTAAAACTCAATTTATTTTGTTACAATAGTCAAACTCTGGAATTATTATTATTATTATTATTATTTGTAATTTCATAACAAGGAAATGAAGCTAGTAATTTGAATTTCAATTACTTCTATTAATGTTTATTCGTCTATACCTTAAAATAAATCAATTCCCTTCAACAGTAAAACAGAAATGGGAGGGTACCAATTAATTGTCCAAGGAGTTGATATTGTTAAAAAAAACTATATGAAGAATTTTTAAGTAGTTTGGCATACAAGAGAGAGCTCCAGTCAAGTAGTCTTCAAAAAAAACATCCATTCAAAAGGTTTTGGCAAAGTCCTGGAAAGGGCAAACAGATCAATCACAACAAAGTCGGTTACAATTGGTCGATCCTTTTTAAAACATACAAATCTTTTGATTGTCAGGTCGAGCACATGTAAATTAACTTTAACCGCTAAATGATGTGGAAAAGAAGGAAAAGAAAAAAAAAAATGGAAATGTGGATTTTATGATTACCTCATCTGATTAGCACTATAATCTATAGAAAGGGTATTAAGATTCTGCTGTGGCTAGCTTTTCTTCTCTCATCCACTCGACGAAATCATCAAGGATTAATGGCCAAGCTTCGGTTGTATCATAATTTTTAAGGTATGGAAAGCTTAACTGCAATAAACAGGAAAGAGTAAGAGGAAGAACTCTTCATAAATGCAACTGAAACTGGCTCAAAAAAACAGAAATAATACATCTAATGGAGTCAAAGATGGCGCCTGTGTGTTTCCACTTTTAAGAAAAACTACCTTAAAAAAAAAAAAAATACCCTAAATTTTTATGTACAAGTACTAAAGCATGCGTTTTAAAATTTCAAGCTAGAGAAGTTGCAAACCTGTAGATAAACTGTTCGGTTAAGTCACAGTTGAGGGAAAGTTTAGCACCTAACTAAACCTTTCGGTTTTGACAATTGAGGAACCGACACAAACTATATCGTACGGTTTAGCTTTGTCAGTTTGGCATAGAAGAGGGATTTACATGAGGTCATTGAGAACAATAAAGAAAAAGAATGAATGTAACTCTATAAGTGTATACTCCCTAGTTGTTATCACAAAAAAGTGTATTATATTAGTCACTTACCTTGTAAAGCTCAAAGAATTAAAATATAAAAATATTTAAATATAATATTTTAGTCCGTTCAGTTTTTATCAATGGAATAAATTTCAAAACCAAAATAGGCTGTACCTTATGAAAAACAAACCAAAATCTAAAATTTCGGTCAGTTTTGAGCACATTATGAAGCTTTGAATAATCAGCTTAGGGTATGATGAGATATCACCCCTTATTTATACATGAAGATTAGGGTTTACAAACAAGACAATTACAAGATGATCCCTGAGGGCATCACAATGATTACAGACCCAAGTGCCTTTCGGCTAATAAAATACTAAGACTTTCGGTGATTATAATATGCCAACACATTACACCCCTAAAAAAGTGGGAAACAAACAGGCACACAAAATATTAATGCCAATGCCATATTATGTGGCACAAAAGGGTATTAATGAGAGGTACATTCAGCGAAGTGAAAGACAAGCTAACATACCCAGAAACCTCATCCATAATTAACTTGTTTGGTTTTGGTTTCCAAAAAACACTTTTTAAAAAATTTTACTTTTTTATTTTCCATATTTTTTTGTTTTCAATGAATTTTTTTAATATTTTAAGCAATTGTTTTTAATTTTTAGACACACCTAACATAAATACACTTCAAAAGTATAATATTTGTAAAAAAAAAATTCAAAAAAATTCACTAATTATCAAAAATACAAAAAAAAATAAAAAAATAAGACAATTCAGTACATTTTTCATATTTTTATGTATTTACTAATTTTTTAAAATATTTTTTCACAAATATTTTACTATTTAGTTACATCGAAGTAAGGTGCATCTGAAAAAAGTAAAAATTTGCTTAAAATTTTAAAAATATTTACTAAAAATAAAAAAATACAAAAAACAAAAAACTTAATTTTAGAAAACTAAATTCAAAAAATTGAAACCAAAACATGTTGAATATTACTCAAAATAAAAGTGGTTCAGATTCTAATAGAGTATAGGGGGAATATATCTAGAATGAAATTGATTTTGAATGAAATTATAGACAAAATTTGGTCATGTATTGTTGCTTTTCAGCGAAAGAGCTCAATATGTAGATCTACCTACCAATATAGATACAAAAATGATTGCACAGCAGTCTGAACAACAGAAATAAACAAAAGCGCAAAGTAAAATAAGTGGTAAAATTGAAAAATCGGGATACCTGACTGCAAAACCGTAGAAAGCTTGTCCATTGATCCATGTTAATCACCTTGTAATCATTCTGGATCTGATGAAAAATCAAGTCCAAAAATCACAAATCAAATCATTGGATAGCATTATAATTAAGATGTTGATCATGATCCCTAAGATCAAGATGCATTTCTCTAAAGAGTAATAGTATTCATAAATGGATTGCTTACCAATTTTCTTACTAGACACCAAGGCAATGGGGCCTACATGTATTTATTAATAGAGGCCCCACTACCTTCATGTCTAGTGGTAAGAAATCCACTGTATAGTGTTATTCGGTTAGTTATTGTCAATGTCATTACATCATATTTTTAGTTTTACAAAACTCATCAACAATAAATTTCCACATATGTACTCTAATATGCATAATATCATAAATTTGTAATAATTACATCACAAGTAATTCAAACTTGTCGAATTACATATACAACAAAGTCTTTAATATATTATTAATTTAACAAAACTACAGAGACGGTGAGAATGTACCATTTTCAATTAATCGAACAGGGATAGTGAGACAAATACAAAATGAATAATCTCATAGACCAAAAAAAAAAAAAATTCAAAGTTGTTTTGTAAACACCTAAGAATCATGAGGGTAGAAAGAAATAAGTGCTGCCCACCTTTAAATACTTGGTGAATAAGGCAACCTGGGACGGAAATTGGGACCCCATAACAATATCTAGCAATTCACAGATGCATTCAACATCTATCCATTTTTGCTTATCTTCTGAAAGAGGGAAAAAATGGCCAGCAAAATTAAAAATAAATAAATGATAAAAATTTAAATCAAACTCAAAACTGAAACAAGATAATGTCATGAAACAATACGGTGCACTTCCATTCACTTAAACACGTGCTTGACAAGTTTAAAAGCTCACCTGTTAGGCAGTATTGAAATGCAAAAGAATAGAAATCTGCAAAATTCTGAGGCATCCTAACCTTTTCAGAAAACAGTACACAATCAGTAATAGCACTATTAAGAAGTTTTCATCATCATGGAATCATCAATAATCAACCAGATGAAAACTGCAAGAATAAAATACCTCATTCTCTAGTTCTGAGAGTGCATTCTTCAATTTATTTACAGTGTCAACAGTAAGAGCTTTCAGGCCTCTTTGCCACTCATCCTGTTAAAAAGAAGGAAATTTAAACTATCAATTTTAACAGTATTTTCTAGCTGGATTTTTCATCCATCTCCAGAACAGAAATATAATAGAATACTTGAGAAAAGTGATGATGAAGACTAGTCCTTCCATGGGTACACAAACAAGATAATTACACACAGCAGAAACATTACAGCATAAAACTAGTCAACCAATTGAACACTTCATAAGTAGGCAGTTATCAACAAATAAATATCTAGAACAGAGAAAAAAAGGTATGACATCAAGAATTAAATTCAATGCAAATCAAGTTCCACATTTTGAAATATCCATGCTAAGTTGACCATCGTGGATTGGGGTCCCGTGCTGGAAGCCATATAACATAAACCATTGTGGAGACAGCTCGAGTACAAGCCGCTTCAAGCAGGGCCCTCGGATTTTACCCCTTGGTCTTATTTTTTGCAAATTTTTGCCTCCAAAACCTACCGGGACTGGGAATGAGTCAAATAGGTCAATTTTGTGAAATTAAAACTAATGGCTCATGCAGTATATATCTATTACGAGTATGTAGTCATCTCTGCATAGCTTATGTCAATCTTCAAACCGCAACACATTTGAACGCTCAATCTAACGTATCAATCCATTACAACCAAGCTCAAAATTTGCCCATGGAAATTGCCAACTCGTATACACCAACACCATTACCCCCAAAAATCCAAGATCCAAACATAGTATTATGGATGCAGAGAGGAGAATAACAGTAGCTGTTACCTTGACTACCCATAATGCATATGAACAAAAAGAAGACTGCTTGTTCTACAATATGAAACTTTTTTATGGGCTTTTGGATTTAGCTTTTGTTTGTTTGGCTTTTCTGCTAGCTTTTAGTTGTGCTGACGTATATGCATGAAACTGAAAATACATATACTCATCTATTACCGCAAGGCTCCACTATTTTCTTTGTACATATTTTCATATACAGTTCAAATAGGTATTTTCGTATTTTTCATGGTCCTATATTGTAATATTCTCCAATTTTCCAAATGGTCTACTTTTGACAAAGGACAAAAATTATAAATATCCAAGAAAGCAGATAAAATTAGATACCATCCAAACAATTTATCTTATACCAACAGAATAGTAGTGTTAAAATATATATATATATATATATTTTAAAATGTTAAAATGACAATAATAATAAGAGTAATGCTATACAAACTAACAAATCTTATAAATTTTCTCACTCACTGATGTGACACCTACCATATCATTGATTGAAGTGGGTCCTATTTCAGATTCCAAATTATTGCATGACACATTAGTTAGTAAGATTTGTTAGTTTGTGTAGTATTTTTCCTAATAACAACAACAATAACAATAATAATAGTAAGGGAAATGGTTGTAATAATTAATGCACTTACCTGTGTAAAATATCCCTGCTTCTGGGCATTCATTTTCCTGTTGCATGCAGATTGTCAGCTATATTAAGCAGAATTAGGAGAAATTGGAACTAAAATTAGTTTTGGTCATATACATATTACATGTCAACAGAACTGACATACCAAGCGAGCATCAATATCCTGACGTCAGTATGATCCACTCCCAAATCTGAACAAAGTGCCTCTATTCCTTCCGGACTGCACAAGCACACATACAAAATTGGCTTGGGTTAGTAGTGTTACATCAATCTCTTGAACACCTATCTACCTGAAGTTTAACCAATTTCATGATATATAAATCATTCATTGCAAAGGAGACATTAAATGGTAAAAACAAACAAATAAATAAACAAAAATATAAGAACCTTTTTTATGTTTTGATCTTCTGAAAATCAAAGCCAAAAGTCTATATAGCATTGATCTTATAGAAGCAGTAACTTCATAGCAATGCAAGACATAGATTGTCATAATGAGGTACTGATGAACATAAATCAGTTCTGGCAATTATTTCTCTTCAGTGACAAGGAAATTGTTTTAGCACACAGAGGTTTGACATTGACATAATACGACACTCTACACAAATGAAACACATTACAAGTTTGAATAAAATAACTTAGAATCAAATAATAAAACAAAAATAATGTAAGTTTATACCTATTCTCCTCATTTAAATTATCTTGGATTAAAATAATTATATATATGACATTTAATAATTATTTATTCACATATAATATATAATAAATATATAAAATTTTATATTTTGCACCTATCCTGCACTTGTCATGTCCTACATTTTAAAAAAAATTCCGTGCCAATGTGTCGGTGTCATGTCACGTGTCTATGTCCACACTTTTTAGGTACCATTTATTGAAAAATTTTGCCATCAGCAGCCCTCATCATCTAGAGCAACATAGGTAAAAACCAAGATAGAAAGATGGTAGTACCTGCTAACCTATAACCTATAAAACAGGTAATCTACGTTATACAGACTCGGGTGTGGGTATCGGATGCGAGTGCATATTTGGGGGTCGGACACTTCAAAACTAAAAATTGAGGATACGTGGATATGGATCCAAATGTGGATACGGGTAAGAGGATACGTTAAATAGTTATTTTAAAAATATATTTATTATATAAAGATGAGTTAATAATTATTTTTTAAATATATTTATTATATGAAAATGAGTTAAAAAAAAGTTGACCCAACAATTTTTTTATAAATAGGATCAAACATATGGATAAGTCATAGAACAACCCATGTTATTGTTGAACAAAGTTTATAAATAGGTCCAAATTTTTATTTATTTATTTGGATCCAACCTATGAAGCACGGGTATTTCAAAAATGGTACCGTACGACTACTGGATACTTACCGGGTGTGTACAGCGGTATGCGTACCAAATACGCCGAATACATGCCAGGAGTAGCAAATACATTTGGATACGTCATGAGTACAGCATGGGTACATTGTGAGTACGGCACTGGTACGGCAAAATGATTTTTTGTTTTTGCAGATTCTAGAATTTATTGCAGCATTTATTATTCTTCTTTAAATTTTGAAAATATCAAGTAATTTATTTCCAAAACCCTTTACCCATGAGTCATGGCTTTACTCTCTTTTGTATCCTGTTTTAGACAATTAAAAGAAAAATAAATAATTATATAACTTTTTAGACAAGTTGTTCTCTTTTTAGTTTTGATATTGAAACTTTGATTTGTATGTTGGATGTTTAGCTATAAATTATAAAAAAATAAAAAATAAATAAATAAATTGCGCACCCCAGCCGTACCCATACACGTACCCTACTTTTTTAAGAATTTGCCGTATTGGTGTACTCATATCATACTCGTACTAGTATCCATACCCGCACCCGTACTTCATAGGATCCAACCCATTAGGGTTTATAATGATACAAACCAACCAATAGGTCCAAGCTTTTTATTTATTTTTTTGGGTCTAGGCCGTTATGATTTATAATATTAATTATTATGATACAAACCAGTCAATAGGCCCAAGCTTTTTATTTGTTTGGGGTACTCTAAAAAAGTCAAAAAGTTACAAAGTCACTATTCTATTTAAGTCGCATCATCTTATTTAAGTCACATCACCTCTCTACCACATCACTTCAAACCCAACACATATCCAACCCATATTTTACAAAAAGTCAAAAAGTGCACTTATTTAGATCATCCCAAATCACCCCTTAATTTTTTGGGTCCAACCCAGTAGGGTTTATAATATTAACTAGACAATATGTTACGCCCCCAAAATAATACAATAAAGATAACTCATAAGCGGAATAATTATGAGAAACAATATCCTTTCATACATCAGAGTTTGTTTATAAAAGTTAAACATACAGTCAAATGCCCTATAGGCTTACATCTTCCCAAGTCATTACTTGGTTACACAAAAGAGAGTCTCACTCATTACATCTTAAGCCCTTGGCTTTGCAAATAACAAAGCATGTTAAAGAAGCTCTTGCTTCCCAAATGTCCCTCCACGCTATTGCCTTGGTGGAAACATATCACCTGCACCTAAAAATGATGTCCCCATATAGAGTGAGCCAACAGGCCAGTAGAAATAATCTAACGCAATATATGAAGCTTAGCAAAGGTATAAGTACCATATGCATAAACAATGCCAGTACTAAAACATCCACCAATTCTGCATATTCATATGCTACTAAGTTCAATTTGAACACATTTTCTTTCAATTCATTTCTAGTTCATTTATACTACTTGATTCATGAGTTTAGTCCATTATCTTTCAACAACCAAACTGAAACTACAAACTCAATGGTTTTTCCCAATTATACAAGATACACATAGACATTCCAATCTGCCATTTTACGGATATTTCATCGGCGAGAATCGGCACGCATGTATATACAAGGCTTCGGGACTTTCACTCAGGACACTCTGACCAACTTGCTTTCCCTGGAATTCATCTCCTTTCTCCTCCCAACAAACGTACATATACAATGTACTTATAAACATAATCTCATGTGGAGTACATCCCCTTTCTCCTCCCAAATAAGCATACATATACAATGCATATAAAACATGGTCATATTTAATGACAACCAACAATAGATTAGTATTAAATCACCTAATCCTCACGCAATTTCTATAACAATCATAACTATCTTCCATTGATAGCCCAATACAATTATTTCTAAACACATTCAATCTCAAAATAAATAGTTTATTCAAAACTTCTAAAGGTGTGAGATAATACATATCCAATTCCACCACCTATATCAATGATCATCCAATTTCACATTTTCAATGCGAATTCCAATTATTTATACAAAATAATAGTTTCACCAAAATTAGGGCAAAATCTCCCTTCTTCCAAATATCAACCAAAATACCAAAATCAACCAATTTGGCACAACATAACCTCATATTCAAACCCCATACTCATTTATTCCTTATTCATCAAAAACCTCTCTTTTCATTTCACACCAAAATCCTAAATTTGTCCAAATCACAACCAAATCTCATCATCTATACACAATAACAAATAACTAAGCTAAAAATCATATGAGAATGTAGAAAATCCTTACCTCAAGAAGAAAAGACGAGCAAAGCAAGGTTGAAACTCTAAAGATGTCGAAACCCACTTGTACTTAGATCAAAATGAAGCTCTTGAGGTGTTCTACCTTTTTCTCAAAGACACTAGGGTGAAGATCTCCATGGATCTAGGTGAAAATATAGAGAGAATGTGAGTTTTAGAGAGAGAGTGTCCAGATCTGGGTTTTTGGAGAGTTTTAGAGAGAGAACTGAAAAAGTGATCTAAAATGTCACTCTCACGGACTGTTGTACATGCAGTCCACTCGAGCGTGAAACTCCCCGCTCGAGCGTTAGACACAGACCTCCACTTCGACGTGTGGAATACCTCTTGCCGGCAGTTTGCAAGACGTAAGGACCCTACTTGAGCGCAAGAATGTCTGCTCGAGCGTGGAGCAAAATTTGTGAAGCCCGTTCGAGCGCAAAAATGCCCGCTCGAGCGTAAGTGCCAAAATGTAGACAACAAAAGTTTGGAAAAACAAGCAATCAACCTGTTCCAAACACGCAACCACAACCCGATAACCAAAATAAAGAGGAGACAAGGGAAACAAGACATGAACCACCATCTAAACTTATACAAACACGAGTTCGGAACACCACAAGAGATAGGTCAAAACCGGGATTGCTATACAATAAGCCCAACCTTTTTATTTATTTATTTGGTCTGGCCCATTTGGGTTTGATACAAAAAAGCAGTAGCAGCCTGTCAAATGTTCTCCTCTTCGCTTCTCTCTCAGCAGCACAGTAGCACAAGATGGAGTCTGTCTCTTCTCTTCTCTTCTCTCACACACACACAAAACAATCGAGAGAGATATCAAGAGATAGAAGGAGATCGTGATAGAGAGAGAAAAGAAGATCGAGAGAGAAAAGGAGATCAAAACAGAGAAGAAGATGGAAAGACACAGATCAAGATCTTGAACCCATACATCAATGCAAGTATCTCAACTTCCTTTTTGATTAGCCGTGTCCGAGAGAGAAGAGGCAAATCCGACACAAATCCCACGCCCACACCCGTGTCATGTCGTGTCGACACGGGTACTTCACCCCTAAGTGTCGAGTTCGTGTAACATATCGGGTAATTGTGCTGCCACAGATAGAAGGGCACACAAATGACCAATTACAATGGGTGAAACTAAAGACCTAGGCAGCTAGATTGACAACGTGTGTTGTGTCTGAAGGTTCATAATAATGAAAAGGATCATTCAATCTTCATAGTATGTTGATAAAACAGAAATCTTTTGAGATAATAACATCCCACTATGTGCAAAAGAATTATTAAAAAAGGTAGGAAAAGCGGGCATATCAATTATTCTCAAAAAATATAATAGGAATCAAGAATAGCATAGTATGAAAATTAGACCCCTAAATATAAGCATGGCATAGCCAAAAGCATCACCACTGCACATTCCATTATTCATAATAAAAATTGAAACCTAAGGAACATAGTCACTTCTAAGAAGGTGGCATGCTCATATTGTGTCTGTGTCGCAGACACTCACCGGACACTTCCTGACATGTGTCCAAACTCGTCAAATTTTGTCCTACTTTTTTAATTTTGTTTTAGACCTTGACAAGCTTTAGACACTTGGATTGGAGGATACACATGTCCCTTGCTTAAACCCACTCAAAACTAATTATAAGTTTGAACAAAATAACTTACGATACACTGATAAAAGAAAAAAAAAATACATTTAGAAGAATTAGTGTATATTGTATTTATTCATCATCTTTGAATGATATATTCATATATATAACATATAATAAATACAAATATCATATGCTTTTTGTGTCCCTCACTTATCGTGTCATGCATTTTTTTAAATTAGTATGTCCATGTCGTATCTATGTTGCATGTGTAAACATAACATGTGTTGTTGTGTGGAGCAATTGGAAACAAACCACTCATTTGGATTACAGGTTTTCAGATTGCAATATACCAGAACAACCAAAAAGTAACACGTGATTCACCAGTTAAAACTTGACATATATGAACTATTTACAAGCAATATTTCCTACAAGAAAGTATGGAAATCGGTTTCACATTGTCCAACCAAAATCTAGCCCAAATTCTGCCTTAAAATCTCTCTATATCAAATAATACCTTTCTAGACGCAAGCTTCTAAACAGGAGTGGTGATCAATCTATTCTCACCATTATGAAACATGAAACCAACCATCATGGGTATCCAACATAGCAGAAATTGAAAAATAAAGCATTGGTTTCACATTATAGATGAACAAATTAAGAGTAAACTTTCCTACTGTGAATTACGAAAAGCTATGAGTTATGAATCAATAAATTTAAGCATTAAACAATTTTGAACATTCAATGGTTATTGATGTTTGCATTAATTGTGAACTAATACAAAATATACTTACTCAATCATGCCCAATGACCTATTTGCATATGAATGGAAAAGATGATCTATAGGTTCCCCCTTCTTCATTGTAGCTTTGTTTGAAGCTAAACAACATAATAGCATATGAAAAAACCATTAGGTGATAAAAGTTAAAATTGGTGCAAAGTTAGAATATGTTCAATAAGAACTTTTTTTTCATTAATAAATTATAATTGGATACAGAAAATTTTAACCACTTAATACAAAAAAAATTCTTTACAGCTCAGCACATTCAAGGTTCATGGGTAGAGGAATATGCCTTACATCAAAACAACAACTAAAAACTAGTACATCAGAAGTCGCATTATAATGAAGTTGGTAATCACTAATAGTAGTCATACTATTGTTCTTGCTATATATATAATTTGCATGCAATTGATATCTTAAATATCTCTACTCTTTGCACTCTGCCCATTTGGCTTTATACCAAAAGGAAAAAGTTAATTGTTCATACATTTCTCAAAACTTGCATTTGATGTGTTCATCACAAAGTAACTTGGTCCAAACAGTCATTGTCAAGCCATTGCTACTAAGCCTACTATAAATATAGGATAATCAACGGATAAGTGTGACAACTGGACAATGATAGTAGTTTGATCACATGGATTTAAGTACAAGTATTGGATGTGGGTGTGGGTGTGGGTGTGGGTGTGGAGGTGTGTCCAAGGGTTAATACTTCCCCAAACCCTAAGTCTTAAGACATAGGCTTATGCATCTATTTATAGATTTTTAGGCAACCTTTGGGCAGCAAACATAACTCTTACACAGAGCCGTATCATCTCTTGTAACAGGTTTTTTGTGTCTATGGTGTTTGTGTTTGAATTTAACTAAACTCAAATCACAGACAAAGCCTACGTGGGAAGTTTCTCACCATCCCAAGGGTAGTGATAGGATGTAGGAGGGTGCACCATTCTGGTGTGATCACTTGTGTTCTATTAGCATGGACATGTCCTAAACATTTAATTATATTGTAATGGTATAATATTATGACAAAAGACACAATTATTATTTAGGAATCTACTTACAATTAAATGGAATTTAGTGGGGAAATTCTTCCATCCATACAAGATGTTAGAAATTTTTCTTTACTTTCAAATGGGAGCTTCTACTTCTTTTTTAAATATCATAAAAAATAATAGCAATTCTTTACGATACTGGAGGGCTGATCACATCCAATTTCAAGGTTCCAAAACAAGAGCAACTATCAATGAACATGAACTAAGATAATGAAAAAGAACATGACCATCTTTATTATTAGAGAAGGGGGGAAAAAAAAGTGTCATCTTCATTTGTCAAAAAAAAAAAAAAAAAGAGAATCATTACATATAATAAACTGCAAAAGAAAGATCGTAATGGTTGTCCTGGGTTTTCATTAGTCATCAAGGCAGTCTCTTCAACACATGGAACTTGTGCAATTTTTTATTCTCATACCCAATATTAACAGTCTTTCCGCCAATGAAAGAAATTCAAAGAATTAGTTGACTGTCACTGCAAAAGCGTCCTGCCGAAGTCAACAAAAAAGTACCCAACGGAGACTACTAAATTTACAGCAATCTATTTCCTATACTAAATAGTAAGGCAAGTTCTTCATATGCATATGGTCTTAACCTTCAGTCTACCAGTTCTGCAAACAAGTCCAAAGAGATGTGATTTACAAGAGGTTTCAACCTATCTGTTCTACAACAGATTCCAAAAGTAAGCAGAGGGTGACTGTTAGCACTTTAATTGCAACAACAATCATTCTTCCACTTCGCATCAAGTCAAGATACAAAAATAAACAGAACCAAAATTTACAGAGGTCACCCGACATCAGAAAGGAAGTCTAAAGTTCTACCATTCACCACACTATACACCATCAAACAACAAAATAAAAATTTTGTTTTTTTCAAAGATACTGCGTAATTAAGCAGAGGGTGACTGTTAACACTTTAATTGCAACAACAATCATTCTTCCACTTTGCATCAAGTCAAGATACAAAAATAAACAGAACCAAAATTTACAGAGGTCACCCAACATCAGTAAGGAAGTCTAAAGTTCTACCATTCACCACACTATACACCCTCAAACAACAAAGTAAAAATTTTGTTTTTTTCAAAGATACTGCGTAATTATGATTCATCATCATAAAAGGAGGTTATGAGCTCATATTTTCGTCTAATAGATTCTTTGGGAAGCTTCTTTGTACCCTTGTTTCTTTCAATTAACAGCCACAAGAGGCAATACTAGCACAATCCAGCAAAAACCATGCTTACTAACAAAAACGAAATCGAATATAAGAAAAATTCATACAACTCACACCGTTCCTTTTGGTGGACTAAATATTGAAATTAAATCCAACAAAAGACCCATTTTGAGAAACAAATCCCACACCCACTGGGGCTAGCCAATGGCCACGGTAAGAACAAATCCCACTCAATATAATCACAAACTAATAATTACGGACCTTGGAATGCCCATCACATTTTTTACAAGATTTCAAAAAAAAAAATTCCACGGTATCATTGATCTAATTAAACTAAATTATTAGCAAGTCAAATGAAAAACCATTAAATCATACACATAAACCAATAACATATTATCTATAACCCAAATTTGAAAACTTTGACTAATATTATTGTTTTTTACCATACATCTATCCCCAAAATCAGAACTTCACCTACATTGAAGAGCCAAAACAGAGCCATGTATGCATAAGCTAAAACCCACATCGTACAAACAACAACCAAAGCAGATTTGTATAAAAAAGAGAGAGAAAAATTAGGGGTTTCATGATAAAAATATGATCTGTACTTCGCAAAACTAGTAATTAATGCCCATAACATTATAGATATATCGGATATAAACTGATTACCAGAACTAACACCATCGACTTTAGATGATTTGAGGGGTTCTGATTTTCTCTTCGACGCTCGAGGCATTGTGTGTGTCCTCTTTTTTCAAAATCAAACAGAATCTGATATCAACCCCAAAAAAAGCTTTTGAGAGGGACAGAGAGGGGGTTTAGGGGTTTTCCTATGCTAGAACAAGAGAATGGCTACGTGTTTTTATAGTATAAAATAATATAGAAGGTTACGTGCACGTGCTATTAACTTGGCACTTTATGCACTTACCATGGGTGATCGTGGATATTTTGATTTGTCTATATTGATGGTGTTGAATTGATTCCTCACATTTTAGATAATTGTGTGATAATGGGTAGATAATTATAGATTAATTTTTTTTAATTCACTTGATTTTAGACAGATGACAGATTTGAGATTCTTTTAGTCGAAACTGAACCGTCAAATTACGAGCACCTATAATAATTTATAAGATTTTGTATTTTCAATTTGTTTAAATATTTTGTTTGTGTTTTCATTTGAAAAATAGTTTAGACATTCTATTGTGTTTTTAATTTAGAAATTCTTTTATCAAATGATAAGTGTTGATATTTGGTATTATGTGTAGAAAATATAAAGTTTAATTTTGTTATTTTTTAATAAGTTAAAGTAAATAGTTTTTGAATAAAAAAACGTAATGAGATAGTTTTGATAATACATGGTTTTCTCATATGTATTTATTATTGGTATATGACAATTTACTTAATAATCTTTTAATTATGTTGAGTTGGATTGATATAACAAGTTGTATTATATTCAAAATTTATAGAAGTTTAAACCGTTAAATCGATTCGCATCCATCTGTCAATCCTTCAATCCGCTCAATCTACATCCAACAAACCGGCGTATGAATACGGATTGATTTTTTTCAATCCGCCAATCCGATAGATAGATGGCGAATTGAAAGTTTCCTGGCAGCAACCGAACCACGAGCATCCCAACTTTATACTTTAGGTGTGTGTATGTATGCATTTTATAATTAACATAATTTTAATTTTTTTAGTGATAATTAAAAAATCATAATACAAATTAAACATAACATAACATATAACTAAAGAATTTATGGATTATAATTAAAATAATATCATAATTAAATAAAATAAAAAATTAGAAAATAATATAATTAGATATGCATATGGTACACCTTTTTCAAAGGATTGTGCATTAGAATTTCCTTACAAAAATAAATAATAAAATAAAATAAAATTATTTAGACATTGGGATTGCCCCAAGTGGAATACACACTACTTGTATAGTTGTAATCTAACTTTATTAATACACTAACTGCTATCTTGTGATAATAAATAAATAAAAAAAAATCTATACAAAATTAAATAATAATTTTTTTAAAAAAAAATAGTACAAAAAATAAAAAAATCATTTGGCCTATTATAATCCACTCTATTTAAATTTTAAAATAAATAAAATAAATAAAAGCTTATTATTTTAAGAGGGAACAACTTCTCTCCGGTTCAAACTTCATTTCACTCCTATCGGTCTTGACTACTTGAAATGTGTATCTTATGACACATGTCAATCATATTATTTATATCAAAAATCAAAGTTGATCATACATTAACAGTCATTTGATTGAATCATATTTGTTTGAAAAAAAACATAAATTCATGAATTCTCTTTACATAGTTATTTCTAAATGATAAATAAGTAATCCACACATAAAAGAAATCATCGGAGATTATTAAAATTTATCTTATCTTGTATTCATCAAAAGTAGGGTTCTCTTACCTATTCTTAATTTCCATTTTAGAATTTTCAATGACTTAAAATTAAAAATTTGGTTTGGATTTTAGGATTCACTTTGTAAAAAATTAAATTTTTTTGTTTTTTTAAATTTTTTTGCTTTCACAGAATTTTTTTAATATTTTAAGAAATTTTTTTAATTTTTAGATACACCTAACATAAATATTATTAAAAAGTATAATATTTGTGAAAAAAAAATTTTACTAAATTTACTAAATATCAAAAATATAAAAATTCAATATATTTTTTATATTCTTGTGTATTTATTGATTTTTTAAAATTATTTTTTACAAATATTTTACTTTTTAGATATATTTAAATAAGGTGCATATAAAAAAAGTATAAAAAAAATGCTTAAAATTTTAAAAGTATTCATTAAAAATAAAAAAACAAATAATTCAATTTCTAAAAAATTAAAACCAAATACACTGAATGTCACTCTACCTCCATGATTTTATGTGTGCTCTACCATTCTCATTTAAAAGAGTAATGCTAGACATTTCAAATATTTTACCAAATATCTCACATGAGTGTAAGAACCACACCACATAAATTTCATATAAATTCCACACTCATATAAAATATTTAAGATCCTTAGCATTTTCCTATTTAAAAATCACCACTTTACACCATGTATTGTACACTTGAATTTTCCATCTCAATTGATGGGGTGTGAGACATGCGCCCTTGACACCCAAGCAGTAGGGGTGTAATTTTGGCCCGGCCTGGCCTGACCCATGTCTGGCCTTGTAGGCTCCCGCCAAAAATTTATTACGCCCTTGACACCCAAGCAGTAGGGGTGTAATTTTGGCCCGGCCTGGCCTGACCCATGTCTGGCCTTGTAGGCTCCCGCCAAAAATCGGGCCGGGGTCGGGCTAGCCCACGGGCCAGAAAACTAGGCCTAGGCCCAAGCCCAGGCCCAGGGTGCGGGCTTGGGTGGGCCTAAACATTTTTTTTTTTTCACCAAAAATTTATTATTTTCTATTAAAAATAACACTAGGCATCAGGTGACCTGGATGGGCCGAGCTTTTGGGCGGGGCAGGGCGGGCCCATAGGTCAGGTCGGGCTTCAAAACGATGGCCCAGGCCTAGGCCCAAGGCCTCGGGCTGGGCTTGGGCGCGGACCTTAACGGACCGGGCCCACCTCAGGCCGCTGGCGGGCTACGGGCCAAAATTACACCCCTATCAAGCAGATAGGGATGGCAATTTGAAACCGACCCGACGGGGACTCGACCCCCCAACCCCGATCATAATGGTTTTTCCCCGAAAAATATCCCCGTGGGGACGGGGATGGTATTTGAAATTAAATCCCCGATTAGTTTCGGGCCGGGGACAGGGATAGCTTTCACAGCCCCGGACCCGGCCCGTCCCTGTCCCCGTCCCCGGTTTTCTCTCCGAAATAAAATTACTATAATACCCCTGTGTATATATTACTATAATCCCGTCCCCTTCCTCAAACAATCACACAAACATAGCTTAATTCGCGTGAGAGAGAGAGAAGAAAGTCACAGCTTCCTCATCGCCGCCGTCCTCCGCCGATCTGATAGCACCGCTCCTCCACCGCCCTCCTCAACTCTCTCACTCGTATCTTCTCTCTCGACTCTCTCACTGTCTTCACTTTCTCGTTCTCACCTCTCACTCTCTCTCAACTCTCTCGTTCTTCTCTCTCTCTCTCTCAGCTCTCTCACAGTCACGGGGACATCACCGCCACCACCGCTGGCCCCGCCACAGCCACCGTCACCGTCGATCTCGCCAACACCATCGATCTGTTAGATTTGTCCTCTCTCTCTCTCTGATCTGATGTTGTTGTTGTTGATCTATACTCAGATCTGTGTTGTTCAGAATAATTTCTTTTAATTTGTTTAATTATCTATATTGTTCAAAATTGATCTGTTTGTATTGTTCACAAAATTGATCTGTACTCAGATCTGGTTTGTTGATTTGTGATATTATATTGATTAGTCAGTGTTTTGTTGAACAAAATTCAAAAAAAAAAAAAAAAGTCTGGGGATATTTCGGGGTCAGGGAAACCCGATCCCCGTTAGGGGACGGGGACGGGAGGGTGATGGGCTCCCCCGCCGGTGATGGGCTCCCCCGCCGGGGATCGGGGGCGGGGGCGGGGATTTTGTAATCTTCGGGGATCGGGGACGGGGAGGGTGGTCCCCGGCCCCGCCCCGGCCCATTGCCATTCCTACAAGCAGATGTTTGAAAAGGTCTTCTCGATCCTACTGTTCTCATTTAAAATCACCACTTTACACCCTGTGTAGTACATTTGGCTCCCTTTTGAAATTATGAGTTCAATTAAAAAAATTTAAAATTCTTTTTAAAATTTAAACTTAACTCAAAAATTATTTTCAAAACTCAATTCAAAAATTATTTTCAAAACTCATAACCAAACACACAACTCAAAACTCAATTAAAAACTTTTTTCAAAATTCTATTTAAAAAAAAAATTTAAAAATATTTTTTTATTTTGTTTTTTAAAATAATTTTTAGAATCATGATTTGAGTGTGGAGTCATATTTTGAATTATGAGTTTTGAGTTGAGTTTTAAAAAAGAAAATTTGTTTGTTTATGAGTTTTGAAAAGAGTTTTGAATTGTATTTTAAAAATTTTTAGATTTATTTTTAAAAAATTAAAAAAAATTATTTTTTATTTTAAATATATAATTTATATTTAAATATTTTATATTATTTTATAAATATATTTTTTAATTTTTTTGTTATGTGTTTGGTTACAACTTGATTGTGAAATTTTGAAAATAGTGTGAAGTTTCGAGTTATGTGTTTGATTATGAGTTTTAAAAATAGTTTTTGAATTGAGTTTTAAGTTATGTGTTTGGTTACAATTTGAGTGTGGAGTTATATTTTGAGTTTAAAATATTAAAATTAAAAACTTAAAATATTTACAAAATAAAATAAAATAATTAAATAAAGATTATATATTTAGAATAAAAGAATAAATTATTCTTAAAAAAAAATTAATATTTTAAAAAAATAAATCTAAAAAATTTCAAAATACAACAAAAAATTAAAAAACTTGAAACTCAAAATACAACTCAAAACTTTTTTCAAAATTTCAAAACTCTTTTCAAAACTCATAATTAAACAAATTTTCTCTTTTCAAAACTCAACTTATAATTTCACACTTAAATTATAATTTTACACGCAAATTATAATTCTAAAACTAAATCAACCGTAGCCTTAAATTTTTGTATCGCATTTGACGAGGTGTGGCAGGCAAATCCTGACACGCAAGTGGGTGTTTTGAAAGGCCTCTGGCCATTAAACCCTCGTTTGGCATAAGCTAAATGGAGGTTTTTTGTTGGCATAAGTTAAATGGAGGTTTTTTGGCTAAAATAGCGACAAAAAGATAAAATAGACTTTTTAACCTA